ATCTCCATTTAAGAATGTAGTTTTAACATCCATTTGATGTATTATTAATTGATGAATGGATGCTAGAGCTATAAGGACTCTAATGATAGTAATCCTAGCTATTGAAGAATAGACATCAAAATAATCAATACCAGATTTTTTGGTATATCCTTTAACAACTAATCTGGCTTTATATTTATCTATTGTTCCATTATGTCTGAGTTTCTTTTTGAATACCCATTTACATCCTATAGTTTTGTATCCTGGAGGAAGATCAGTGAGTTCCCAAGTATGATTTTGAACTATAGATTGAATCTCATTATTTATAGCTTCCTTCCAAAACGGAGCATCTACTGATTTCATTGTATCCTCAAATATAATTGGAGAATCTTCTACAAGTAATGCATAGAAGTCTTCATGGACTTTTTCTACTCTAGTTCTCTTACTTCTCCTAGGTTCCTCTGGATTTTCTAGTGGTCTGATTTGTCTAGAACTAGTTTCACCTTGGTTAGAACTGTAATCTGAATTGCTAGAGTTAGGGCCTGTGTTGTTTACTCTGATTTTGTAAGAAAAAATATTTTCAAAGTAATGTGCATCCCTATCTTCAATAATGGTGTTATTGGCTATCTCATTAATATCAGAGTTGATTATTAAAAATCTATTTGTATTACTATCAGAAGCATAACTTATAAAGATTCCATCTATAGTTTTAGGGCTAATCTTCTTTCTCTTATTCTCAGGTATCTTAACTTTTGCTAAGAACCCTCATACTTTCAGGTGATCTAAATTAGGGTTTCTATTCTTTCAAATTGTGTAAGGGGTTTTATCAAAATTCTTGAATGGAATTCTATTTAGTATATGGCAATCAGTCATGAGGGCTTCTCCCCGCAGATTCTCTGGCACACCAGAATTAATTAACATTGAGTTTACCATATCCATTAGTGTTCTATTCTTTCTTTCAGCTACTCCATTAGATTGAGGTGTATATGGAGCAGTTATTATGAATGATTCCATTCTCTTCACAGAATTATTTTAGTTCATTAGAAGTGTACTCACGACCTCTATCTGATCTAAGTATTTTAATTTTTCTATCCAACTGGTTTTTAACTTTTGCTTATAACTTCATCTTTGGTCTTAATTAAATAGAGATAACAATATTTAGAACAATCGTCTATGAAAGTTACAAAATACTTGTTACCTCCTCTAGATATTCTTTTAGAATCACAGACATCACTATGGATGAGTTCTAATATCTCAGAATCTCTATCAATAGTTTTAAATGGTTTCTTAGGAAGTTTGGCTTCTACACATATTTCATATTTTTTATCATCTTTTATATTAAGCTTTGGAATTATATTGAGATGCATCAATCTTTTAATTGAATTATAATTCACATGTCCTAATCTTTGATGCCAAGTGATAGAAGATTCGATATTCAAAGCCATTGGAGATGCAAGAGTAGAATTCTTAACATTCAATTTAAAAATACCATCACATAAAAATCGTTTTCCATTAAAGTTCAATCCCTTAGTTATTACAACTTTATTTGATTCAAAAACAAGTTTGTAGCCTTGTTACACTAATAAAGATCCACTAATCAAATTTCTCCTATTATCTGGCATATGGTAGACATCCTACAGGATCAATGTCTTATCCGAAGTCAACTTTAGATTGATCCGACCTATTTCAGATACAATAGCCACATTATTATTTCTCATTATCGCAGTTCCTCTACTTGAGACCTGATAGGTAGAAAACAAAGATTGATTAGAGCAAATGTGAATATTGGCTCCAGTGTCAATCCATCAATCATTTGCTTGAAATGTCATGTTTACTTAAGGGGTGAAGAGAACAGACCTGAAAGCAGTCTCACCTGAACTGGAAGTCACCATGTTTACTTGTGACTTATTAGGTGGGGGTCCTCCCTTCCTAGACTTGGGTGGTTCTGTCTTCTTATAAAAGCAGTCATTAGCAAGGTGGTTGGTTCATCCACAAATAAAGCAGGCTCGACGTTCAGCTCTTCCTTCTTTTGAAAGTGGACATGATTCTTATTTTGATGAAAGGATTTTTTTTTCTTAAATATTTTATTTTAATTTTAGTGGAAGGGACGTTTCTTATGTTAGGGAAAGTGTTTGGATTCAACATTGTTTACTTTGGGTTCTTTGGGTTTGGATTTTGTCACATTATTCTCCCTGAGTCTATGTTGCTCTTCGATTCTAATGGCATCCAAAATTGATAGAACGCAAGATCAAAAAGTCCTAGCTAAGAGTGTACCTCAAAATCCAATGATTAGCTCGATTGAAGATCTGACTCTTCTGTTGATCAAGAGGAACTGGGCTCGATCGAAGAGAGGGAGGAGGAACTATGACTACTCGATGGAGAGAGGAGAACTCAAGCACTCAAGAGGAGAGAGATGAGTTGTGGTTCGAGGATCGCTGTCGCTCGTCGTCACTCACCGCTCGAGAGGAGAGAGAAAAATCTAAGGCTTCGTTTATGAGAGACGAAGGGACGATGGGTTACTCGCTACCGCTCGAGAGGAGAGAGAAATCTAGGGCTCGATGATGAGTTGCTCGCTACCGCTCGAGAGGAGAGAAATCTAGGGCTTCGTCAGTTCGTCAGGTTTTTTTGCAAAGTGCTGGACGCCCGACGGGTAAGTTACAGTTTATACGGGTCAGTTCGGGTCAATCCGTATTGACACATTTAATTTAATAAATGGGTCAGTTCAGGTTGATCCGTTTATGACCCGACCCATGTAACTTGATCCATACCCATAATAAACTGGTCGGGTCGGGTTAATAGGTCGAATCATAAATTGCCACCCCTACTTGTATTACTGGGCCCCTGCTTAATTGTTGCATGCGCCTTTTTCCCCTTTTTTTTTTGTTTAGTGGATAGATTTATGATGTAAATGTCCTCTCCTATTTTATTTAGATGAAGTGGGCTTTATTTTGCTTTACCTTTTTTTAATTCTTTCATGAACCGGCCCATATATTCTTTACTGGAATGGGCTTGGTTGGTCTCATCTATTAACTCTTTCTTTTTTCTTTTTCTTTTTTTTATGTTGGCTTGTTGGATGCACATAGGAGAGAAGTTGGTTAAGAGTTCTATTTGATTTTGATTGCACGGGAAATTAGGTTAGTTGGGGGGGTTTTTTTTTTTTACGGGATAGATTTGGTCGATTTGTTTTTCCCTTTTTTTTTGTGGTATTTGACTCTTCACAGGACCTCTCTCATTGAAGAAAATTCACCTCAAACCAGTATTCTCTACCACTGTTCAGAAGCAGCTGCTTGTAATAGCTGTAGGGGTACACACGCTCAAATTGAATTTTGTCACCATTTATTCAAGAATTACACTAATTCACTGGCACCTGCAAATCAAAGCTAGGAAGTTTAGCATGAGAAGGCATTAAAATCACCCACCACTTAATATCAAATCAGGAAAAAAATAAAATTCCTTAACGCGAAAATTTTTACCCTCCTTTTTCTTTCACATCGATATGTATCATACCTTATATAGAACAGACAGAAATGCATTGTTTTCTTGTAGCTCTATGACGACTCTGTTATCTTTGAGCTCAAAGAAGAGCATCCTTTTGATATTCTGCTCGTCAGGGAGCGATAAGGGGATAAACCCTGCTCAGCACCTCTGCAACATATCATGTTTTCGAATGTTCGGTCAGAAATCAAGTGTACAGCTCAACACCGACTTCTTTTCCATTGAGAAATTGTTGCTTGGAGTCCTTAGATCTATCCAGTCTGAAGACAGTATCTATGATCTAAACTCCCGCCACAGGAACGGGTCGTGCCGAATTTAGTCGGACGTGAAAACGTACCGAGGATAGTTCAAGTTTGGACATACCAAAGGGCTCAGATATTACAAGTCCTGGTTTGTTCACGAATTATACAGTAGGAAACTAAGTTATCCTAAGTCATGACAGCAAAGTTGCCATTGACAAAGTACATAATAGTGATATTAGAATATATTACAACCTTAGCTCTATGGCTAGAGAAACTAGGCCATATTAGGATAAATCTATGGCTAAAGATAAGAAAAGGGAAACTTTGTATCAAATATAAAACTAGCTTATGGATCACCAATGAATTCATTTTATCCATTTATGAAGACACAAAAGATCAACACAAGTGGAAAAAATAAACCTGCCAATATATAGAATGCTCTAAAAATATCATAAACACCTCCCTTCAACTCTGTCGAAAATATTAACCTATAATCTACCATCAAATATTTATTTAAGAAGAAGGTGAGCACATTCTTGTTCTTGAGGCACTGACGGAACTCAACCAATTGGTTTGAAGCTCTGCAAGAACAGCAGTCAGGATTAGCAGTAATTGGACCAGAGTGATGCTGTCCAGAACCAGCCTCCAACATCTGACTAATGCATTAGGTTAAGCTAGCTCTCAAAAGGAGTCATGCTGTAGATCATAACTTCTTATAATCAATATGTTTCTCATCACAATCAATTGCAATAGATAATGGCAACATGTCTAATGTCTCAAGCTAGAAATTTAAATTCTTAGTATTTAACTCATTTGTGCATTTCTGCATCTGATTCCTAGGATATGCTCACATAACAAAAGAACACATCGTAATATTAACTTGAGGCATGAAATAAATAGGAACACGGTTCCAGCAAAGGGAACACAAGGACCACTTTTCTCCAATATGAGTTTTGCATTTTATTCAATTAACTAGTAGATTCACAAACATAGTCGAAATAATTACTTAGTTGGAAATTGTGGATTGGATTGTTGATTCCAAACAGCTATGGTGATTGAACCTTACAATCCAAGAAGTGCTAAGTACTTGGGCATGAACTATATGCCAATACAAATGTGGCAAAGTGCTTGGCGAATATGTAAACCTCTTACTTGCCAATGTAAATGTTATTCGCCTGTTTCCACGCCTAATATATCGTATTTCATATTGTCCGAAAAACAGATCTCACATATTTCAAGCCTATGGAACTACGGTCATAAAGCAATCTCATAGACAAATAAGACTACTAGCGTCCAAAATAATATATATAGCACAACTTGTTCAGACATTTTTTTAGCATACTAGTTATAAGTACACAATCACTCCCTAAGCTCCTTTTCTAATAGTTACCCACTTTATATAAAACATGTAAACTCCTAAATAACACTTAGCATGGACTAATTTAGACAACAATACTAGACTTGATAAAATCAATCACCATATTGACAAGCTTCTCTTGCTCATCTCGAGCAGTAGTATCCACCACAATCTTCTTTACATCTTCAATTTCATAATCCCAGCATCCATTGTACCCTTCCATAATCCTCCCCATCTCTTCCCAAGTCGCAGGCTTGTGCCCCTTATCTCCACCCGATCTCGCTCTCTCTTCAAGCCTCCTCCTCCACTCCCTCTCATCCTTTGGCCTGCATTCCACGATTACAACATGCGCACCATATGCACGAGCCAACTCGACAAGTTTGTTGAGGTTGGCTCGACGAGAGTGCGGAGAATCAATTACCACCGAGAGGCCAAGTTGAAGCTGGGTCTCGGTTATTTGCCAAAGTACCAGATAGGAGAGGTCATTGAGTGTAGATGGGGGGATCTGGTATTGAGATTGAAGGGAGAGAGTGTTGTCGCGAATGTCATCTTTGTCGATGAGAGGGAATTGGAGACAGGTGGAGATTGCGCGAGAGAGGGTGGATTTGCCTGTGCCTGGGTGGCCTTTCATGGCTATGATCATCTGTGGCCATTGCTTTTCCATGTTTCTCTCACACACCAGGCTCTAGCACAAAGAGCAACAATCGGTTGGGGTACATAACATGATCAACTGTTTGTGGAGTTACACATCAAGTTGAAAGAACAAATGAAAATAGATCTAGTTCCACAAAACTTAGAACAAAACCAGAAATAAAGTATCATGGAATTTGAATTGCTATTTGCGTTCATTATAATATAAAGACACTATCATCTATTATGACATTATATGGATGTATTATAATCATCAGTACAAATTTGTCATAATTAAGTAGATATTATAGCATTCACAAATTGCTTGTCATAGAATCTTACTTGTTTCAAAATTACAGAAATCATGAGATATCCTGGTGTGCAAAAATCATGTAGAAACATGCACTTATATCTCCATAAGTGACATGCATGAAACGCATTTTAACAACTGTCCTAATAACATTGTTCATATTTATCTATTGACAAATGAGGAACTACATCTTTAACAACTCACATTTGAATGAGTGGAGGGGATTATGTCACCTCACTACCAAGCACAATTTTTTGTGCTTGGTACCAAGCATACCCATATATATATATATATATATATATATATATATATATATATATATATATATATATA